TTTTCGAGGTATTTGGGGATGCTCAATACGAATATGGCACTCATTTCTAGATCCAAGATAGCGGACACGATTTTTCGAATAAGGGCAAGTTGGGTATCGTTTTCGAGGTATTTGGGTGTGCTCATTACGAATATGGCACTTGTTTGTAAATCCAAGATGGCGCACACGATTTTTCAAAAAATGCAGTATGGGTATCCTTTTCGAGGTATTTGGGGATGCTGAATACGAATATGGCGCTCATTTCTAGATCCAAGATAGCGGACACGATTTTTCGAATAATGACAAGTTGGATATCGTTTTCGAGGTATTTGGGGGAGCTCATTACGACATGTCACTCATTTCTAAATCCAAGATGGCGGACACGTTTTTTCAAAAAAATGTAATATGGGTATCCCTTTTGAGATATTTGGGGATGCTCATTACGAATATGGCACTTATTTCTAAATCCCAGATGGTGGACACGGTTTTTCAAAAAAAGTGCAATATGGGTATCCCTTTCGAGGTATTTGGGGATGCTCATTACGAATATGGCACTCATTTCTAAATCCAAGATGGCGGGCACGATTTTTCGAATAAGGGCAAGTTGGGTATCGTTTTCGAGGTATTTGGGGATGCTTATTACAAATATGGCGCTTGTTTGAAATCCAAGATGGCAGACAAGATTAAAAAAAATGCAATATGGGTACCCTTTTCGAGATATTTGGAGATGCGCATTACGAATATGGCACTCATTTCTAAATCTAAGACGGCGGCCACGATTTAAAAAAAAATGCAATATTGGTATCCTTTCCGAGGTATTTGGGGATGCTCAATACGAATATGGCATTCATTTCTAGATCCAAGATAGCGGACACGATTTTTCGAATAAGGGGAAGTTGGGTATCGTTTTCGAGGTATTTGGGCGTGCTCATTACGAATATGGCACTTGTTTGTAAATCCAAGATGGCGGACACGATTTAAAAAAAAATGCAGTATGGGTATCCTTTTCGAGGTATTTGGGTATGCTCATTACGAATATTGCACTCATTTGTAAATCCAAGATGGCGGAAACGATTTTTCAAAAAAAATGCAATATGGGTATCTTTTTCGAGGTATTTGGGGGTGCTCATTACTAATATAGCATTTATTTGTAAATCCAAGATGGCGGACACGATTTTTTTTAAATGCAATATGGGTAGCCTTTTCGAGGTATTTGGGGATGCTCAATACGAATATGGCACTCATTTCTAAATCCAAGATGGCGGACACGATTTTTCAAAAAAATGTAATATGGGTATCCCATTGGAGATATTTGGGAATGCTCATTACGAGTATGGCACTCATTTTTAAATCCCAGATGGCGGACACGATTTTTTAAAAAAAGTGCAATATGGTTATCTTTTTCGTGGCATTTGGGGATGCTCAATACGAATATGGCATTCATTTCTAGATCCAAGATAGCGGACACGATTTTTCGAATAAGGGCAAGTTGGGTATCGTTTTCGAGGTATTTGAGGGTGCTCATTACGAATATGGCACTTGTTTGTAAATCCAAGATGGCGGACACGATTTTAATAAAAAATGCAATATGGGTATCTTTTTCGAGGTATTTGGGGGTGCTCATTACTAATATAGCATTTATTTGTAAATCCAAGATGGCGGACACGATTTTTAAAAAATGCAATATGGGTAGCCTTTTCGAGGTATTTGGGGATGCTCAATACGAATATGGCACTCATTTCTAAATTCAAGATGGCGGACACGATTTTTCGAATAATGGCAAGTTTGTGTATCGTTTTCGAGGTATTTAGGGGTGCTCGTTACTCCGTGTGCAGTTGCTGGTCTGCCATCGGACGCGTCCCCAGGTGGCGGATAGGGGAACGGCTCCCAGATATGGGAGCTACCGGCTTCGGCCGGCGCGGACCAAAACCAGCACCGGGAGACAGGGAGAGGCCGTTCCAGCTCAACAGAGTGGAACGCCCTCCAGAAAAAGGCGGATGTCGCCTTCTTCAAGGAGGCCCTTAAGCGCCCGGGAAAGGCCGGGGAGGCTGAACCCGAAGGTACGGCGGGCATCATGAGCGAGGCCCTGGCCCAGGAGGCGCCAGACAACCTCGCTACAATATTGGCGGAAACCGCCAAGTCCTGTAATCTCAAGGGGACGGTGATCAAAGCCATTAAAGAGGCCGTCAAAAAGGTGGAGAAAGCCATCGATTTTCTCCACCTTGGAGAGACGGCGACGGAGGTGGCGCGGCGGATGTCGGAAGACATAATAATAATAAATAATAAAACTGTTTATTCAGTAACATAATGTACAGAGACTATGCGGTCTCTGCCGCCGGATGAGGAGGCAGCCCCTAGAGGCGGAGGTCAAGGCCCTGAGGGGGGCCTACTCCATCGCTACGGCCAAGGCCACGGCGCAGGTGGCCCCACCGCCGTGCAGCTCCGCGGTGATGCACGCGGAGGCGAGGAAGGCCATCGACGACCTCAGGCGAGACATTTTCTTCTCCATGAGAAATATGATGGACGCTTGGGGGACATCGAAAGACGCCTCCCCATGGAGTCCCTAAGACCTCCCCTGGGCGGCTGAAGTAGTGCGCCCGCTTATGAGGCGACGCCTGCTGCCACCGCTGTCGCCGCAGCTGCCCCGAGGTTGCTTCCCTCTGCCGCGGCCCCCGAGTCGACACCGGGCCTCTCCCACGACCGAAACGCGCCTGCTGACCCGCGGCCCAACAAGAAGGCCAAGAGGAAGGCTCCCCCGCCGAAGGCTACTGCTGCCCCTCCTGCGGCGCCCCCCGCTGTTTCCGCCATCCCTGCCGCCCCAGACGTGGCAGCCTCCATGCCGACTGACCAGACGGAAACGTCCTGGTCACAGATAGTCGGTCGCAAGGCCAGAAAGGCCAAAACGGCAGCTGCCGCCACCCAAGCGGCACGGGCCCCCGCCTAGGCGGCCCCCGAGACGGCTCCCAGACCCAGGGCTCTCTTCACCCCGAAATCATCGGCGGTGGTGATAACACTGAGGCTCGAAGCGGTGGCGGAAAACGGGGTCACTTACAAGGGGGTCCTAGAGGCGGCGACCGCTGCGGTCGATTTGGGCAGCCTCGGTATCCCGCACGTGCGGGTGCGGAACACCCAGACGAGTGCCCGCATAGTCGAGGTGCCCGGGGCGACCAACGCAGGGAAGGCCGACACCCTGGCGGCCAAGCTGGAGGAGGTGATAGGGGGGCTGGCGGCAGTAACGCGGCCTACCAAAACCGCCAATCTAAGGGTCACTGGCTTTGACGAGTCGGTGACCTCGGAGAAGATCCGGACGGTGGTGGCCGCCAAAGGGCAATGCCCCCAGTCCGCCGTGAGCGTGGGCGTCGTAAGGCTGGTCCCCAACGGGAGGGGGTCAGCCCTCGTCCGCTGCCCGGTGACGGCGGCCCAACGGGTGACGGCTGCCGGCCGCCTATTGGTGGGGTGGTCCTTCGCCGGGCCATGTGATGGAGCCCCTCCCCATGCGCTGCTTCAGGTGCATGGGTATTGGCACCACCAGAGCCCTCTGCCCATCCAGTGTGAACAGGAGCTGGCTCTGTTTCAGGTGTGGCCAGGTGGAACACTCGGCCTCCGGGTGCACGGCGACACCGCGGTGCTCGGTGTGCACCGCGGCTCGCCATCCAGCGGACCACGTAATGGGGGGGCGATCTTGCGCTCCCCTCTCCACCAAGAGCAAGCCGGCGGGGACCTCAGGCCCCCTCCCTATTGAGGGACAAAATATGAAGCAGTAATGCCAGCATGCCACCATACTATACTGCAGGGCAACCTCAAGCACTGCTCCAAGGCACAGGATTTATTGGTCCAGGCCATGGCGGAGTGGGGGGTTGAGGTGGCTGCTGTGGCGGAGCCATGCCTTGCCCCCCGCGGGGGAACTGGGGAGGCGACGGTGGCCATAGTGGCGTCGCCTGCCGGGAACTCCTCCCCTCTAGCGGTGAAGGCACAATTTCAGGCGTTCCTGGAGACCCTAGAGAGGGCGGTGAGGGCAGCTCCGACGCCGGTGTTGGTGATGGGGGACCTCAACGCCAAGAGCGCTGCGTGGGGTTCCCCGGTCACCAATGCCAGGGGGCCAGAGTTGGAGGATTGGGCGGCAGCCTTAGGGGGTCAATCGTGGACGTCACGTTTGCGACCCCCTCACTAGCCGCACGAGTATCCGGCTGGCAGGTCCTGGAGGACGAGGAGACCCTCTCCGACCACAAATCATACAGATGAGGGTCTCCCATATGCCGCCCACGACGGCCTCCAACACGGCCCCCGGTGGGGGGCTTTCTCAAATGGGCACTCACCTGCCAGGACCTTGAGCTCGCAGAGGAAGCAGCCACGATCCAGGCGTGGAGTTCAGGGAAGACTTGACCGCCGTCTGCGAGAGGGCCATGCCCAGGGTCAGTGGGATCCCGGGAAAAAAGAGGGTGTACTGGTGGACCGCGGGGATTGGGGACCTTCGCACTGCTAGTACAGCAGCCCGGCGGGCCTACGGCCGATACCGCCGCAGGCGCCACACCCAAAGTGAGGAGAGGAGGCTCCACAGCGCCCTTCAGGGCGCGAGGCAGGCCCTGAAGGTCGCGATAGGGCGGGCCAAGGACTCTGCGAAAGAGGAGTTCTTGGCCACACTGGACGCGGACCCATGGGGGAGGCCGTACAAAGTTGTGCGCAACAAAATGTACGGCGCATCTCCCATGGAGTCACTGAAGCTCGATCTCCTCAACCGGGTGGTGGAGGGCCTCTTTCCCGAACCGCAGCCCTTCACCCCACCGACATTCTTCCAGGGGCATTCTTCTGCCCCCGCAGCCGTCCCACCGCCCACTTCAACTCACTCTCGGTGATTTCCTCAGTCTGCCCTCCGTCTGCTCTGGGGGGCACCATGACGAGTCCTTCGCATTGCCTTGAAGCATCTCGGGACCAGCCTCAAGCATCTCATGGATGACTGCTTGAGGACGGGGTTGTTTCTTAGATGCTGGAAGGAGGGAAGGCTTGTCCTGGTGCCCAAGCCGGGCCGACCTGCGAACTCCCCCTCGGGGTTCAGGCCCCTCGTCCTGCTGGACGAGGTGGCGAAAATCGTGGAGCGAATCATCGCCTCCAGGATCAACGAACACCAGAGGGGGACAGGCCCCGATGTGTCGGAGCGGCAGTACGGGTTCAGGGCTGGACTCTCCACCCTGGACGCCCTGAAGTCGCTGCGACACATTGTGGAGAAGGGTAACGGCGAGGGGGAAGGCGTGGAGGGTAACGGCGAGGGGGAAGGCGGGGGAAGTCCGTATTAGGACCACTACTGTGGAACCTGGGGTACGATTGGGTGCTGAGGGGCGCGCTGCTCCTCCGGACAGCGGTCATCGCGTACGCCGATGACACGCTGGTGGCCGTCCGGGGAACCATCTTCCAGGAGGCGGCCCGAAGAGCCTCAGTAGCGGCGGACATGGTGGTCCGCTGAATACAACTGCTAGGGCTCGAGGTCGCCGTGCCGAAGACGGATGTGGCCGTCTTCGGTGGGAGGGGTAGAGGTTAGGCGGTGCCGACAGGCGCCCACATCTCCATCGCGGGAGTATCCCAGAGTAGACCGGCGATGGAACTTCGGGGAGCATTTCCGGCAACTTGCTCCCCGAATAGTGGGCGCCGCATCGGCGTTGGGCAGGCTCCTGCCCAACCTCGAGAGGCCGGGAGCCCCGTACGCTGGGTAACCCGGGTGACCCGGAGTATGGCCTTATACGGAGCTCCCATTTACAGTGGGGCCTTATCAGCGGCGACGAAGTCGCTGCTGAGGAGACCCCAGAGGGTGGTCGCCCTGCGAATGTACAGGGCGTACATGACGGTGGCCTGCGCTGCCGCATGCGTCCTCGCCGGTACTCCGCCATGGGACCTCGAAGCCGAGGTCCTGGCGGAGGTCCGCACCTACCGGCGGGGAATGAGGGACCGAGGCGAGTGACCCGCTCCCCAAGAGGTCGAGCGGTAGCGCCGCCTCGCGGCGCGGCGCATGCGGGACCGGTGGAAAGAGGGCTTGGCGGATCCCCCCTATGGCGCTGGTACCATAGGAGCGATCCACCCTGTCCTCGTAGAATGGGTGAACCGGTCTCACGGGCCACTGTCGTACCACCTTGTGCAGGTGCTGACTCGGCACAGGTGTTTCGGTCACTACCTACACAAGGTGGCGAGGAGGGAACCGTCCCCGTCGTGCCACGAGTGCGGCGCTGCGGATGACACGGCGCAGCACACCTTAGAGGTGTGCAGCCGGTGGGATGGGCAGCGCCGCACTCCGACGGGGACTGTCGGGCGGGACCTTTCGCTGCCGAGCGTGGTTGCCGCCATGCTCGGTAGCGAGGAGTCCTGGGAGGCGGTGGCCTCTTTTTGCGGAGAGGTTATGTCGCAAAAGGAGGCTGCGAAGCGGGTGCGCGCGCTTCGGCGCAGACGTACGGGGAGAAGACGAAGGCAATTCGCTGCTCGTCTGATCCCCTAGTGAGGCCAGCGGGCTGTAGACAGGGACTCCGGAGTCTGCATTGCGCGGCCTCACTCGTCTGGGGGGCGGGTCGGAGGACAATCGACTCACCCCTCCGTTGGCGCGGGAGCCCTGGCGCAAGCTAGGGCGGCCGGGCGGCGTCGTGGTGAATGTTCACCGATCCCACGGCTACGACTCCACCGGCGAGAGGGAAACCCGGGGGGGTTTTAGTGGAGTAGGCCCTCCAGTCTGGAAGGAGAGTTCCCACATAACCCCTGAGTCTCCCTGGGTTCAGGGGTATCCATAAAAATTTCCCCCCGTCAAAAAAAAAAAAAGGGTGCTCATTACGAATATGGCACTCATTCCTTATTTGTAAATCCAAAATGGCGGACACGATTTTTCAGAAACATGCAATATGGGTATCCTTTTTAAGATATTTAGGGATGCTCATTACGAATATGGCACTCATTCATAAATACAAGATGGCAGGCATGATTATTCGAAAAACGGCAAGTTGGGTACCGTTTTCAAGGTATTTGGGGTGCTCACAGTACAGATTTTTCGAAAAAGGGCAAGTTGGGTATCGTTTTTGAGGTATTTGGGGGTGCTCATTACGAATATGGCATTTGTGTGTAAGTCCAAGATGGCGGACACGATTTTTCAAAAAAAGGCATTATGGATATCCTTTTCGAGGTATTTGGGGATGCTCAATACCAATTCATATCTCAACGGTATCTCATCGTCATATCTCAACGGTAGAATTCAGAAAGTAGACATAAATGGTGTGACTTCTTTGAGTTTTCCGGTAAAAATGGGTGTTCCGCAGGGCTCAATACTTGGGCCTTTCTTATTTCTGATTTATATGTATGATCTCCCATTCTTTGTTAAGGACAATTTTTATTTATTTTTATTTATTTATTTCATAAAATTACACAGTATAACAGTAAATTACTAAGGCACTGTGAAATTCATACAACATAAAATTATTATTAGATCGTAGATGATAGTCGTTCATCCATCATCTCACAAAACTTCAAACATTCATCACGCACAGTCACCCATCTACTTGCGAACACATCACATTCTGGTGCAGATACGAGAAGCGCATTAAAACAGTGCAGAGCGCGAACTAGTGGCGATTTACTGTGTGCCACAGTGCGCAATGCCGGCTCTGC